GTGTTCATGTGAAAAAGAGTTGCACAATGTGTGTCTGTGTGACTGGGGCAATACAGAAAAGTGTTTTTATTATGATTAATATTATTATCACTATCAGTACAGTGGTTATATTTTAATACGATTCCCAGAAACAGTACAGGCCACTGACATTAATGTATTCAAAGATTGCTACTAATCTGACTACTTGAAACAAAAGGGTTTCAGACACCTGGAGGAATTATGGTGTAATTTACTGAACTGTAATGCACAACCAAATCCCAACAACATTACTGAGAAAAATGAATGATATAGCCATCTTTATAGTACATCAGTGAATGAAATTTCTTTGGCATTTAGCCTTTAACGGTTGACCTGCAGTTTGAAGGTTTTATTAATTCTATGTACCGGTAAATTCTAAGGATGTAAAAGAAAGTCAAAATAAACAATTACCAGATTTAAACAAAAACCAGATTTATCCGGTCTGCTCAGTGGCTGGACTGTGGGAAGGATGCTATAGAGTACTATAGAGTGTTCAGTGAATGCATGTTAATTATCATTAAGGATAGCATATCCACCCTCTTAAAGGTCACTTGAATGTGTAAATCGTTTTCTTCTTGTGACGGAAAAAACAACAAAAAAACTAAACACTATATTCGTTGCTCTGAAAAGACCCCCTGGCTTGAATGGTGAAGAATGATATCCAGTGACCAAATAATCTTGAAATACATCAAGGGCTAATGCACAAGATTTTCTATTTCCTTCCTCAGAGTACTTCGTCATTGGAATTAATGTCATTATTAGGCCACTATAAAAAGCAGTATAATTGGATTTAATTCCAGCATATGGCTTTAGGTAACTAACACGACTTTTTGGCAGAGTCGGATTTGTCTGATTCCTTGGGAGTGAAGAGCAAAAAACGCTGATGGTTGAATTGGAAACGATGGTCAGTTTGAAGCTCTAGCACCACTATAAATGAACAGCTAATAATAATTGTACGTCAAACTGAATTAACAGCTGCAATAACAACATGTTGAAGCACTCACAGACTATCATCAAACAGAATCGCAAAACAGGTCAATAGTGGATTGACACCTTCTAGAAGCCACAACAAAAAAATCACTATAGCGTCATGAAATGCAAGAGGAGAATCGGCTTGGCAGCAGTTCACAGCACATTTCTGGTTAATCAGAACATCATTAACAGACTTCGAGACAATCTTTAAAAAGATTACCTTACAAAGATGCTTGGCACAAACTAAAACGAGTACCTGTAAAAGATTAAATCAAATACAAACGTGACTTCAAAGATGAAAGTAACAGAGAGCCCACACTGACAGGTGGAAAATTATTTGATTGATTAAATGTTGATACCTTAGGTCAGATGTAATAGAGCTGAAGCTGGTGCCAGAATGGTAGAATCCACAGCACACCACAGTGGTATCAGATGGAAAAATGTTCCATTAAAAAAAATGCTACAATCATTGAGGAAGAAAATAACAATAATATTGCCTTGATGTGCATCACGCATTAACATATTACCCATGAGACGATAGTGATAATGAAGATCATGACTACAAAATAATTCATTATAGTTCAGGAAAAAAAGAGTTTGAGATTGCCTCAGAATATTTTCAGCTAGTGTGGATCCTTTGGTAATGACTATAATTTGAAGTAGATACCTTATATTAATCCATTTGTCTTTCTCTACATCTCACAGTATCTCTGTGCAGGTGACCCTAAGGCAACACAGTAACAACTCTTATTGTGAATTACAGTTCGGTAATGAACACAGTGATTATGTAGGGTGTCTTACTGCAGTGTGCTGAAGATTGTTTGGTAACACTTTACAACAAATTTCAATTCACTAACATGAGCTAATGCATGGGGTATCATGAACTAACAGTAAGGTAAGTTAATGTGTTATGAATGAACATCAGTATATTTATAAACTGACATTACAAATGCTGTAAAAATTTTATTCATTGTTACTTCAAAGATACCAAATGCATTAACTAATGTTAACCATTTCTAAAGTGTTACAGTTTTTTTTGATTGAGTATTACTCTGACACTTCTTTTTATTACTAAATGGATATTTCACTCAAATATATATATATATATATATATATATATA